CAGAATTCCCAGTGAAAAATCATACAGATCGTATACAGTGGGGTCTCTACTTAAGAACGTCTCTACTTAAGAACAATCCAACTTAAGAACAGCTCCATTTGCTAAATTTTGCTTCTACTTGAGAACAGAAAACCTTAGGTCATCTTAGGTTAAAAAAAAAATCTCCCCCTAGTGGTAGAGTACGTATTAACCAGCTTTGCATTAGTTCCTATGGGAACTAATGCTTCAATGTACGAACGCACCTCTACATAACAAAAAAACAGCCAGAACGGATTAATTGGTTTTCAGTCCATTCCTATGGGAAATTTTGCTTCAACTTAAGAACGTTTCAACTTAAGAACACCATTCCAAAACGGATTAAGTTCTTAAGTAGAGGTTCCACTGTAGTTTCTATGGACGGAAAAGAGCAGATACGGATTAAATGGTTTTCAATGCATTCCTATGGGAAATGCAGATTCAACATAAGAACTTTTCAACTTGAGAACCACCTTCCAATACGGATTAAGTTCTTAAGTAGAGACCCCACTGTATAGCAACATGCTGGAACCAGTTGTATTGGCTCTTGCCTTTCCATTGGACCATTTCAGCAATGTGGAGAGGGGGGATCTGCTGCTTGGGTAACAGCCTATCCTCCATATTACCTTACCCGGGCTTCATGCTCTAGAGAGGACACTCCTCAATTCAGAGCATGTTACCATAGTCTCTCGAGACTGAAGGATGCCTATATGTAGAGGTTCCACTGTAAACCTAAGTTGAGGAATGCTGATCAATTTAATAAACTGTTGATGAATTGCTGCAGGTTAAGTAGTGTAGTCATTTGCTAAATTATGCAAGTTGTACCATGCTAATGGACATAACTAATAAGGTTTTGAGCAATATATAACAATTTAAACTATCATTTAAATTAAACAAACATCATATAAAATATCTATCTTTTGACCAGAACAAAACTAAGACTTCTAAGTTACATTAGATGTATCATGTAGCTGACATAAATGAGGCTCTCCTGAAGAATCTTCTAGTATATATTACTCATCATCAAAATAAAACAAGAAGTAATATTCACTGGTCTGTGCAGGAATTCACAGAAGACCACGATGAAGAAGTAATATTCACTGGTCTGTGCAGGTCGAAGGGAACACTTTAAAGAGCAGGAGCCTCAGATCAGCTTTTCTGGTCTTGTCATATGGAAGACAGGGATTACATGGGAAATCATATGTGCAGATATACATGCATTCAATATGATAACTGTTTCCTGTCCCCTTATCTCAAATATTCCTTAGAATCAAGCTTCAAAGAAGAATGTGTTTATGATATTTCAACCTTCTGCAAATAGCTCAGATGTCTAAGGGAAACAATGTAAAACTTCTCAAACCATAAGAGAAATAATGTAAAACATTCACACAGCAGACATTTTATGAAATTAATTAAATATTTGACTTTTTCATTTGTAAGAGCCTGAAATATTTTTATCTTCTGGAGTTTTGGGCAGCACACTTAGGTTGTCTGCTTCCTGTTTATACTGCATTTGGAAAAAAATGCACCCCAGAAGTAATAGTTGTGTGTTTAAAAATCATATGTTTGTGAATGTTTTGTTTAGAAAAATTTTTAAAAAAATGAATGCTATGCTATAAACAGAACAGAAGCTGCCCATAAAAGAAAACGGTTTGACAGATGCTAACATCTGTGAACACAGATTTTCCCCAATTTTCCTTTTCTCTCATCCCACTTCAACTACAATAAAACCAATTTAAAATAAGTCTTGTGCAATTGAAGCTGGGCTTTCCTTAAGGGTAAACACAATAAGTGACCTCTATTCTATCCTACCTTGAAACATTTACAACAGTATTGGGCCCATTATCTTTACTCAGATGAAGATCTTGTGAAGATATGTTTGTGTGAAGATAAATGTAAGGAGATATGTAAAAGTACAACATAGAAAAACAACTGTTGTAAAGAAGTTTAAAAATAATTCAGATCTGAACTAAGTCAGCCTAATATAGTCTCCTCAGCATTGCATAAGCAAAAATGCTGTAACAGAAACTCATTAAAAGTTGCTAGAGCATAATCACTCCCACTAAAAGGATTTGTATTACATAAGACAAATTAAAATGTGTATATATTCCTCATTACCTATGCCTTTTAGACCTCATATAAATTAGTGAGCACCTCAGACTGTTCTATTAGTCATTGGCAGGCATAGGGAAACCGAAACTCAGAATATGGGATTTAAAAGCAAGCTGTTACTTTTTATTAATCCCATAAAATAACATGGGTGATACTTATACCCATCAAATTATGCCAAGCCAGACATAACATGAGTTTCAAGAAAGCTGCTTAGGAAAATGGATTAGATTTCTTGAGATGCTTCTAAAACAGAGGCCATCAAATTTTCAACTTAATTTTTCCTCTTTTATTGTTCTTCAGACACAGCCAGCCACTGTTTCTAAAAGTCAGCAGAACTTACCTTTCCAGTACTTACAAACAAGTCAGTGCATGGTTCTCAACCCACTGCTTGGCAAAGGATATTTAAACTGTAGAGGCAAACAACTGTTCAGGCTGTGTCACTGATGTTGCATCTCATCAGCAGAGAAAGCATAGCACCATTTTGAAAGAAGCACTGTCTGCTTCGCTAGGTTGCCATTGGTTTGTTTTTAAGGCTATTCATATTCTAAAGTTTAGTCAACATCTCCTTAGTGATAATCAGAATTATTGCTGTCTCTACTGAATACTATAGTCAACCATCTCCTTAGTGAAATCAAAATTATTGCTGTCTTTACTGAATACTATATTTTGTACCCCTGTACTTTAAAAAAGGTCAAAATACTTTGCTAATGGAATTAGACTGCCCCAAGTCCTGAAGATAGGAAAGGGCAAAAGTAACAAGCCATAAAATATCAATATATTCACAGTCTCAACCTGCAACAGGATGTCACTGATAGCTTCAATGTCAACATCAGGCTTTTAAAATTGTTTCTTATGTTTGTGTTTGAGAACACTGCTACAATAAATAAATAACTAAATTTTATGTTCATCATCTGTTTAAGTATCCCTAAAACAGTAATTATCTACCAACAAAATAAATTTTATTCCTGAAACAGGTCAGTTCACTCATAAAAAGGAAACATTTAAAAACAAAACTGCACTGCAGCAGGAACACAGAAGTATAAAGATTAAATAATAAAGATGAAACAATAAGCTGAGTATTTCATCAGCAGGAGTGTCCATAATCTATAAGGTTCCCCTTGACAATTTGTCCAGTCGTGTCCGAATCTAGGGGGCAGTGCTCATCTCCGTTTCCAACCCACAGAGCTAGCGTTTGTCCAAAGACAATCTTCCGTAGTCACATGGCCAGCATGACTTAGACATGGAACGCTGTTACCTTCCCACCAAGGTGGTACCTATTTATCTACTCGCATTTGCATGCTTTCGAACCGCTAGGTTGGTGGGAGCTGGGACAAGCAACGGGGGCTCACTTCGTTGTATGGATTCGATCTTATGACTGCAGGTCTTCTGACCCTGCAGCACAGAGGCTTCTGCAGTTTAACCCACAGCGCCACCACATCCCAGATGTTCATAATCTATACTGCCCTAATATTCAATACTTCTATCAAAATATTTAGGTGTTTTATCTGATTACTAAGCTGTAACTTACAGAGACTGATGGGCTGCCTCCTTCAAAGATCTTCTAAAACATCTCATCTAGTCTCTCCTTAGTAGACAGAAATGGTCCATTTCTGTATGTCCACAGAAGGAGTTGAAAGCAAGGAAAGAGATTTTACCTAACATACAGTAACTCATTGCTCTTGCAAATCACAGCAAAAAGGATTTGGACTTTAGACACAAGCCTCTTATAGTAAGTTGAGTTTTCTCAGCTCCTCATGCACAAAAAGTTATTGTTATTTATAAAATGCATAGAATGTATTACTCATTTTTCATTATAAAATCATTAAAAAAAGAGAATGATCATCTCTAATGCAAGAAACATTAGAGCAGACCTGGTCTAGAGGGGCGGGGTATAAATCTAATTAAAGTAAAGTCAAGTAAAGTAAGAAACAGTGTGAATAAAGAGTAATGTAGACAATTAGCAAGATAAGGAATTACTCTTTGTGAAGAGAATGGTAATTCGAGAACAGGAGCAGTACATTGCATTTGTGAATTCTAAATAACCATCTGGCAGTAAAATGCTCACAGCATTAAAATCAAAATTAAAAATTAAAAAGTGAGTCCTAGGTCAAATCAGGGCTGAACTATCTCTGGAGACAAAAATATTGAAAATGAGGCTGTCCTACTTTGGGCACATCATGAGAAGGCAGGATTCTCTGGAAAGGTGGAAGGCAGCAGGAAAAGAGGAAGACCAAATACGAGATGAATTGTGCCCTTAAAAGAAGTCACAGCCTTGAGTTTGTAAAAGCTGAGCAGAGCTGTTTAGGACAGGACATTTTGGAGAATGTTCATTGAAAGGATCACCATAGTATGTTGGAGACAATGTGACAGTCCATAACAACAACAAAATCATACAAAATCATAAGAAAATTTAGAAAAGTGCTTTAGGTCATACTAGCTGCTCAGTTGGGGAGAAGGCTATGAACCAGTTGCAGAACATCTGCTTTGTGTTTATAATATTCCACCATCAATCACTGGAATTGCAAGGAAATGCTGGAGAAACTCTGTTCTACTGTATCTGATAGCATGGAGAGTTGCTTTCAATCAATTTAGACAATATTGATACAGACGGGCCAATGGTCTGTCACATTTTTCTGTCCCTGCTGTAGTTTGGCACCATCACTGTTATTATGACAACAATAATCAACAAATTAGCTATGGCCATCCAAACACTAAACAATTTGTCCATGTCCACTCGAATATTTCAAGTAAAATTCTGGTCTTCATGAAAGCTCTAGACTACTTCACAACAACATGTTCACCTTAATTTGTATCTTTATTTTACTGCTCCCCTCAATGCTACAAATTATACCAGGGCAAATTCTATTACTCACCTAACATTTGCCAGGTCTGAATTTAACAATAGTATGTTTGGGGAAGGATTATTTCCCTGAAGATGACATTTTAAACCTTCTTTAGCAGCCAAATAATACACTCTTTGAACAACCACACGGACTCGAATTCCTTTCTCTCCGGCCACTCCTTCTTTCTCCACAACATCAAGAAGAGAATCACTCAAACAAATAACTGCAAAGGGAGATGGTTTAAGCTCACTGCTGCTAATAGTCTTGGAAGTCTTCATATCTGGATCAGAAACCTAAAAAGCAAAAATCCATACATCAGATTATTGCACACATTACAAAAATAAAAAGGGTTTTGCTTACATTTGGTTTGGTTATTATATTACCTACTTATACCCTGTATTACTCCCAGATCTGAAATTCCAGAAGTCTCACAACAATATTTTAAAAATTACAAATAAAAATAAAAATTTTGAAATATTAAAGCACAGTTAAACAAACTGAAATAGTAAAACATAAATGAATTACATTTTATTGGTACAAAAGGGAGTAGCATAGTATCAGTATCTTCCTACATAAGAAGCCGGGCTGTAGTCTTCCAAAACCACAGAAATTTCCTAAGAGTTACCAAAGGTGGCCTGATGCAGAGGGTGTTACTATAATCAAGACAAGAGATGAGGTGACTAATGTATAGTCATCATTCCTGCTGCTAGTGGCAGGTCAGTTTCAACTATTTATCTTTAAAAGTTCAATGATAACCATATACAAATCATCTACCAGCCCCCAGAGTATGCTAACAAAAACGATCAACAATCCTTGCCATCAGCTTTAAACAGATACATATGAATAAATGTTATCCTCCAGGTCATCATTCCCAACATACTAACACTCTTAAAAGATAACATGAGCATTCTAAATTGAATTTGAAAATGAAAATGAAAAAGTAAGCAGAAGAAGCAATTACAAAATCACTATTCAGGTTCATTCAGGTTCTGACCTATCCAGCATCAACCACTACTCCAGTCCACATACTCTGCACTAAAGTTTTTGAACAACCTTTAAAGGGAGCCTCGTGTAAAGGATAGTTTGGTACTGGTAGTTGAGATGTAACTAAAGCACCATAGTATGAACAAATGCAGCATTTTGGCATTAACCCAGAAACTGGACAAAGACATCCAGCTCTGTTCTTCTGATGTTATATGACTGGGAGACAATAGTTCTGGGATTTATTAGTGTTCTTAACTTCAGTGAATGACCCAGATAATATAACACAGAAGAAACCAAGTAAACAAGCCACACATACCGTAAGTAATTTTTAAAATGTCGACTTTCTAGAAAAAGAACACAGTGAAAAACACTGGAATGCTAAAATCTGGGGCAGAGAAATTAAATGCATTAATAGTAACAAGTCTTTTCAAGAAGCATGGCAGTTCATTAGCAAAATTTCCACTCCCTGTAATGTGTAGTACCCTGTTTCCCCAAAAATAAGACCCAAGCTGAAAATAAGCCCTAGTATGATTTTTTAGGATGCTCATAATATAAGCCCTACCCGAAAAATAAGCCCCAGTTAAGTGAAACCCCTCCCTCCACCATTATGCAGCAACCAGATGACATGACTGTATCTGAATAAATGCAGATTGTTGTACACGAAAAAAAAAGTCCCCTGAAATAAGCCCTAATGTGTTTTTTTGGAGCAAAACATAATATAAGACCCTGTCTTATTTTCAGGGAAATTATCTCATGCTTATATTACATATTTTTCTTTTTATAAGATGACCCAATGTATAAGATGACCCCTTCTTCTAACTCCCAAATGAGGAAATTTGCACAATCACACCCCTTTGGTCCCGAACCCTTTCATGGCTGCTTCAGGATCAAAGGGGTGTGAGTGTGTTTCACTGCTGCTTTATCCTGTGGCTTCACAAAAAGCAGGGAAAGTGTCTGCCTTCCATGTATAAAATGACCCTCATTTTTTTGTCTAATTATTTAAGTAAAAAGTGTTGTTTTATACACAGAAAAATACGGTATGTCTTTGCACATTTCTCCCCTTCCACCTGTTGCTATTGGGAAAGGGGAACATTCTAGATATCAAAACATAAACGTTGTATTAGACAATATGGACATGGAGTACGGAAACCGAATACTGTATCTGAAATTCTTTTGCTACAGATCTGTCTATGGAAGGCTGATGATGTCATCAGATGTGGCCTTTTGTAATGAAACATTTCTGAAAACCCCATGCCTCCAGATTCTGATGCTCCCCAGGGGTTCTCTTTTGTCCTGGGGAAGCCTTTGGGGGCCTCAGGCTGGGGAGAGTCTAACAAGTGAAAATCACTGCTGCCACTCCCAGTAATTGTTGGGCATTAAAGACTCCACAACCATTACAGGGCCCCCAAAGGTTTCGCAAGGACAAAAGGAATACCTAGGGAGCCTTAGAGGCAGAGGTGTAAAGGCCACGGCTGATGACACCATAACCTTTACAAGAACAAAGCTGTGCCAACAGGATTTCAGCCTATGTGTCAACTAATTACAGTGTTAGGCCAGTATCTCTTATCACATGTAGCTTTTCCTTTAGAAAGCTTGTAAATTTAAGAAGTTCAACTACACACAGCAAAACAGTGATAATATAATACCAATAGTATAGAGCACTGTAATCAAGCTATTAAAAATGCACACACGAGTTCTACATTTCAATAAGTGTGTAAATCTTGCTTGTAAAATGTGAATATGAATATTACTTCTTTTTCAAGGTTCTTAAAGTGGTTGTTCTCAAATATCTATTCATCAACTTGCTACCAAGTGTTAAAACTGTAAAGTAAACTTTACCTGATTAAGTGCAGATGGTTGAGGAAAACAGTCTTTTACGTCAAATAAAGTGAATATCCAGGCCAAAGATATATTTCTTCTAATAAGCAACGTCTCTTGAAAATGTGGCCTATCCATTTCTGTTGGTTCTTTAAGAACAACCTTCTGGCTGAAATAAGTATTCATAATAACTGGAATGTTTTCATTCAGGAGGTCAAGTTTTTGCCTGAAAAACAGAAGCATGGTTATCTCCTTTACTTCTTTGTAAAAGTTAATAGCTGGAAACCATTAAACTGATTGATGATCTACTTCAGATTTATATGTTGATTGCTTTCTTACATGCTTTTAAAACAAACAAAAAATGAAATGTTTTAATATATAATCTGAGGGTGGTTAAAAAATATTCAGATCTATACCAGATTTTGCAGAGACTAATTAATCAATTAATTCTCTAGGGAACCTAAGGTAGCTCACTGTCAGCTAAAACACCACAGTAAACACAACTGAAAACATAAGATATTTCAAAAAATTAAACACATATTAAAAACTATAATTAAAAACCCTTTTACAAACATTTTTAAAAATCCCTGATGGAAGGAGGACTAGCGCTTCAGAGAAGGGCATTCCATAGCCTGGGAGCAGCCACCAAAAGGGCCCTCTCCTGCTTCCTCACCGAAGAAGCCTGTGTTATAAGTTCAGCACAACGTGGAGCTAAGGACCTCTGGTGTTTACACAAATGGACATCCCGTCTTTCTATTTTGATGCTCGGATGTTGCCACATTTCTATTGCAAAACAGGAATAAGTACAAATTGCTATACACGTGCAGTCACAAAAAACTTTCAGGGGAGAGCATGCAATGGGCTCTTTGAGAATCAAGTAAAGTTGCAGAGGGAGTTTTTAGCAATCAGTTCAGTTTACTATCTACCAATAGACTTTCTCTTTTGTAACAAGCCAGGTTTCAGACATCCCCCTCTATTCCATTCATTTTCCACAACAGACAAAGTTAATATAAAAGAAACCCAATGAAGCAGGCCTTGTAACTCTACTACCTTGAGAGAAAGGGAGCAAGCAGAACATCCAACAGAACGCACTACACTATTTATACAGATGATGCCTACTTGACTCTAGGGCATGATTTCTACTAGTAGGGCACTTTATCTGAAACATTACAGTTTTGACAGATGGACATTTGTTTTCAAAGAACTGACTTAAGTAGCAATGCCCTATATTATCCAGAAAACTGATGACTAGTAGGTATACATAGGCTGAATGCTGGAACGATTAGCAGAAGAGTGACTGAATGTTGAATACTGAGTTGAATGCTGAATGATTTATGTGAAGTGGCACTTAGGCAGTTTTAGTGAAGTCAATTTTGAAAAGTTAGTGAGGTGATCAAAGTGTTTCTGTTTTAGAGAGTGTGTGTTGTGTGGAATATGTAGAAACAGTTAATTTTAAAAGTCTGAAGATAATAATTTAAGTGGAGGTGTGGGTGAATATTATAAAAGATTACGGAGATATTACCAACTGTTTTCCCACTTCAATTTACACTACCTGATAAATTACCTTTTCCTTCCTTCTTTCCACTTACATCAGTATTTTCCTAATGAATGCCTTTTGCTTGTTCCTAAGAAAACAATCTCCACTAGCACTGAGAGTGGCTGGCTATTTTACCAAGAATGATGGGGTGCAGAAACTATCGATCTTTTGGACTCAGCAGGTAGCAACATTAAGAGTGTCAGGTGGTAAGACAATATAGTGAAAAGGCAACTATCAAGCTTCCATAATCTTGCGCTGTCCAGATGTGCCCCTTCCCACCAACGATCACAGTGGCTGGGGTAAAGGGAGTTGCAATCCAGAACACTGGGAAGGTACCAACATGAGGAATATTTGTATACTGCTATGTGGCTAGGAGAGGTATATTAAAATTAAGAGAGGTATATTAAAATTATAGGAAGAAAGAACAGAGGTAAGTGGATGCATTAGGGAACAATAATTAGTTGTTTCACACAAAAATATTAGTAAAATGTAAAAAAGAAAATGGCGCACTAAGCATTTTAAATATGACATCTTCACCAGACTACTAGTACCATTTTGCTACCAGCAGAGAACTGGGCAACAAAGATTTTTAAGTTAACAAACATACAGATTTTCAAGTTAACACACAGAGAGATAACTGCTTTCTTTTAATGTAGTGTTGTGAAGCAGAGACCAATATAAAACAGGAACATATTTTTCCTCATTATCTTTATAGTTAAGGTTATTGTTCTTCACTTTGGCATTCATCCTATACTCTCTAGAATAGAAAAAGTTTGGAAACAATTTAAGCTACATTTGGGAAACAACCACATTTTGTTGTGTACTAATTGGTGGTATTAACTTTTATCAGGAATGCTTAGGTGAACAATGGGGCTAATGTTATTAGCAGAAATCAGAGACCTTCAGTCAAAGGTTTGTCATTGACAAAGATTTAGCTTAAATCAAAATCAGACTGAGTGTTCCCTTCCTGCTTAGGGAAGCTTATTTCACCCCCTGAGAAGAGAGCTGTAAGTATAAGAAACTGCAAAGAATCAGCAGATACACTAGGTGCAGTTTTTCCATCACAGTGCCCAAATTCTTCTTTGCCCATTTCCCCTTTTTCTTCCACTTATTATTTCCTTAGGCCCTCTTGCTTTTTATTCTCAATGCTTTTCCTGTCCCTTCTCCTTTCATTTGCTCTGCCACTTGGCTAGCTTCCTTGCATAGCTAATAGCCTTGTCTGTTATCCTGACACTGTTTCTATATTTAAAAAAAACAAATTAAGAGAAGTCATCAGTAGCACAGATCAAATTGTAAGCATCAACTGCCAGAGAAACATTTTTCCTGTTACTACTCCTTTCCCACCCAAAGATGATGCTATTATGGATATAATGATTTTGGGCGTGGTAGCTCTAAACAATGGTGTTGTATTATTACTATACCAGTTGGCCTTTAAGGCTGAAATCAAGATAGGAAGAATAGCGTGAGAGAAACAAAGATATTCCATCTCATCTACGTCCTGTATCTCCTTTTGAAGCATTTGTACTTGACAGATTGGTAGAGGAGTCTTGCTGTGAGTTGATGCATGGCTGCTGGTTGCTTACATCACTAGTAAATAAGATGATGTTACCTGAGGGATTGGGGACATCTCCTCTGATGCAGCAGGGGTGGTACTGCTGAGGTGTATTGCATGCAACTGTTTTTCCTAGTAACTGATGATGGTGCTAGTTATGGGAAACCAACTTTGAAATAATCCATGTGTTTCATTGGTTTAAAAAAAAAAAACAGAAAAAAATACTGCATCTTGGCAAGATGACAGTGATGACTATATTGATTTCAACCAGTACATTCTGATGAAGTGGACCTATCCATGAAAGCTCATACTGTATTAACAAATATAAAAGTTAGTCTTTAAGGTGACACCTAGTCCTTACCTTTTTTACTTTTTATTTCTATTTTGCTTTTGATTATGAATATTATGCATAGCATAGTGTAGTTTTAGGCCTCTACCCTTTCACTCTCTATAAAAGACTGACATAGATTTACACAGAATATCACAGCTAGACAATGAAGTTGAAAATTCTTAGTCCACAGCCATTAATAAAGGAAGCCATGACTCCAAAATGTTTCAGAACCACTGTGTTAGAGGAAGATGAATGATTATCTATTTTCATTTCTCAATTCTATTCCATCCAACTGCTTTACCTCTGCTGGGCATCTCCAGTTTCAAAACAACCATAGCACCCATACTATTATTTTATTTTATTTTCCACATTTATATCTCACCTTCATTCCAGTGACCTCAAGGTAGCAATGGTGTGCACAACTTTCCTTATCATTTTACCCTAATGACAACTCACTGAGGCACAGCAGGATTAATAGGCCCAAGATCATCTGATGAGCTTCAAGGATTATCTGAACCCAATCTCCAACCTTCTAAGCATTATAGTACATAGGCATCCTTCAGTCTCGAGAGACTATGGTGACATGCTCTGAATCGAGGAGTGTCCTCTCCAGAGCATGAAGCCCGGATAAGGTAATATGGAGGATAGGCTGTTACCCAAGCAGCAGATCCCCCCTCTCCACATTGCTGAAATGGTCCAATGGAAAGGCAAGCATTATAGTACACCAGCTCAAAATGGTACATTGTATTCAACAGCTTTCATTGTCTGCAGTCTACTGTTCATACATCTGATGAAGTGGGCTTCAGTCCAAGAAAGCTTGTGCCAAAAGAAACTTGTTAATCATTTTTATAGTTTTTATTGATTCCTGATAAAACTTGCTAGTCCTTAAAGTTCCACAAGACTTTCTTAATTTTTATTTATTTATTTGATAACAGCAGCCTTAAAATGTATCTGTCCTCAATAATTTGTCTCAATAACTTTTTAATTGCTACTCAGAACACTAACAAACCAATTAAAGGAGCTCCTCCTCAGCAAGTCTGAGCAAAGCGCCTCAACAGTTCCTACCAAAGACTGACAGAAATACATTACAGTATATGTCTCTAGAAAGACTGAAGAAAGGGGGATCACAGTGTGTTAACATCTAACTTGCTATACCTCTGGCAATGTTTATTAGATCAATTTCATGTGTTGCATATTCATCAGTAGAATGTGGACGCCAAGTTTCAGATAATTATTAGTTCAACAAGTTTCACTTTTAGAAGCAATAGAATTTCAAACCTTGATTGACTGAATGAATGACTGCAATCTGCCATAACTAGGGGCCCACCTGTCTATGCCTCTTTAATAAAGCTCCTTGCATGTGGATGGTGTGGGTTTTGGGGGCTTTTTGGACGTGTTCTGAAGGTTGTTCTTCCTGACAACCTTCAGAACACAGCTAAAGAGCCCGAAAAACCCACAACAATCATCAGATCCTGGCCGTGAAAGCCTTTGAGAATACTCCTTGCATGTGTCCATCTGAAATTTTGGCAGCATGAATCCCACTGGAATTGGCAATTGATGCAGCACAATTTATCCAATTCCTCCAATAAAAATATTCCCTTAAAAAAAAGTAAAGGGGCATAGCACAAACACTGCCATCTTGAATCATATTATTACTGTTGTTTTTATTTTATACTTTTATTTTTATGTCTTGTTGTTAGCAGCCCAGAGTAGACTTCAGTCTAGATGGGTGGGGTATAAATGGAATAAATAAGTAAGTAAGTAAGTAAGTAAGTAAGTAAGTAAGTAAGTAAGTAAGTAAGTAAG